GCTGACAACTGTAAATGAGATTAGACTTCAGGGCATGGTGCAGATGCAGAATCCCCTCTGTGCATTGCCTAGGGACACTTTTGAAGCGTCTTTCCCCTTTACAATGCACAGCTTGGTGGAGGGGGAGAAGGGGGCAAGTTTCTTATCTCGCTCACAGAAGTGTCTAATAAAGTGGGCAAGGCAGACCCTGGTTTTAGAGCCTGCATGCTGATCTGTTATCACCATGGACAGTCTTCCTACTAGCACCTCTGAATTCTCCAGGCCACATTAGGAGATAAAATAACAAACCAATGATTATTCCCAGTTCCAGTCCCCACAACCTCCTCTTTGCGGCACAGGCACATGTCCTAATGAGCACTAATCTAAAAGGACAGCAATAGCCCAAAATCCAGGCAAGGACTCGGAGATAGCACATGACCCTGTGCTAAAATCCCCTTCCCGTGCTGCTAGTCACAGCCATAATTTCCCATTCTTCACCTTGCAGTTTCTCCTCTTCCTCCCCCAGGGAGCCACACAAATCAGCAGGCAAAGACAAGGAATTTGTCAGGGAAAGCAGCAAAATCTCCAGGCACAAACCACTGTCTGGAGCTCAGCGAGACCTGCCTGGTGAAGTCTTCCAGGCACAGCCAGCAGGGGTTATCCAGCAACAATAGTCAGGGAAACTTTTCAAACTAAAGTGTGATGTTTAGCTCAACAGTGTCCCAGTAAACAAACTGGAATTTCTTTTATAGCGTGGGAAATAGCTAGTCCTGCCTGTGTTAAAGGCTATCCAGAGAAAAAGGGACGCGATTAACGTAAAAGATCATTGAGTTCAAAATGATTCCCTTTCCCAGTTACCATCAACTACAATCATAGTTGGCCTGATTTTATGGAGCGCTTTGCAATTTCAATCATGCATGAACCAGCCCTGGATTTAAGAAGCCTGCAAGGTCTCCCTTCAAGCATATTTTAATGCTTTACAAGACCAAGGCAAAGCAAGTTCAGCTGCACCCACCGCTGGTACTGTCAGCAAATGAACTCTTCCTGGCAAGTGTGCGTCTGGTCCAGGACATCTCTACAGCCTTGTTTCTGAGCTCAAGCTTTCCATTATCTGCCTACACAGTCAGGGTAGCTTGGCATCTTTCTGCATTCCCCATAAACTCTGTTCATCTGTTGCCGTTACACCCACGTACAAGGCTCAGGAAGGAATCCAGGACTCCTAAAGCAGCTGCAGTAAAAACGCAGCCTGGATCGACAGGCAATGAGGCCAAGGTGCTGAGCCAGCAAGGAGGGTCTTTTGGGTGAGCTTTGTCCGCGTCTATTTAAAACAAGTTTGTTGTCATGGCTACAAACCAGGATATGGGTGAGAAGAAGTGAGAACTCTGAGATGAGGGCTGATAATGTTAATTCACCCTTGAAAGCTCAGCAGCCACAGGGATGGGGCAAACGGAGAACAAGATACAAGCTCTCGCCAGCTAACGAGACTCAGTGCCGCCTACTAATGAACATTGTCCTCCTAGACAGCCCCTTTCATTCCGCATGGCTGAGGGCTGGACAATAACCATTAGCTGCTGTCATCTCTAAAGCGGGGACACTGGGTGCCCTTCCTTACCCATGGAGGTAAAGAAGGGCACCCAAGGCCTCAGAAAGGAAACAGCAAAGCAGGGACAGCCCCTCAGGAGACTTGGGTGCAGTCTCGCTTTCTAATCACCAGACAGCTCGGCTTCAACCTGGCCAGTGGGACGTTCTCCCGTCTGCACGCAAGGGAATTAGCACACGATATTTTTAGCGTAAAAGTGTGAAAGACCGCCAGGACCTGTTCCTGGCACTGCCCCACTTCTAAATCTATCCAAAGATGGTAGACATCAAAAACAACAACAAAAGTTATTTGGCTAGTGAAGACCAAACAAAGAAGAAACAAGTGAGTGGGGAGGGACGGAGAGGGGCAATGCCTCGCTCTTCTCAGAGCCTGGATTCCACACGGAGACAACGGGGAGCACTCAGCAACGGTGCAGGCTCCGCAGAAGGCAGCAGATGCAGAGCTAATGTGTACGTGGGTGGAGGGTGTTTATGAACACAATAAATAAATGTATGAGTCCCTATAAAAGTTCCCATATAAAAGTGAGTTAGAGCTGCCCAAGGGCCATCGCCTTGTAATAAAATACACATCTCGTAAGCATGGTATGAAGCAGCAGCTGTACTGTAACTTCCTGGCTGCCGCACTGAAAAGACGCCTGTCTGCCTGCCCTGAAAGTCTTGAGTGAAGTCCTGACCCCGCTAAATTCAGGAGTTTTGCTACTTGCTTCAGTGCAGCCAAGATTTCATCCTAGGAGGGGTTTCTTTGAACCTCACAGCCAAGGAAGCAATTCTAGATCTGCCTTTTTGCCAAATTTTTTTTCTTGTTAAAAGAAGCAATGTCCCAGTGGCTAGAGATATTGGCTTGAGTCATTGACAGTTCCCAGCACAACAGATTAGAGCTGGATCAAAACAAATAGAAAAATTCCTCTAAAAAGGATCATCAGTCGTTCCTCCCCCTCACCCCCCAAAATAAACAAAAGCAAAAAGCATTGCTTTGAGGTTGAATGACAATTTTCATGGAAGAGCTCTGAATTTTTAATATAAGATGTTGAGGGAGTTCATCAAAAAAAAAAAACCCTAAAAGAAAGAAACCCTTAAAGTTAGTATGTCTAAACAGAAACCTGTTTTTTTTTGTGTCAGTAAACCTAAAAATCTTTCAAAAATCTCTTCTCCCAGAAAAACACATTAATTGTAATTGTAATTTCATCCTAATTTTTTTTTATAGTCAAGGATGGGAGAAGGTGCTGACCACTCCCTCACTGTGTCTGCTGTCATACTCAATCACCTCAGCAGCGAGAGACTCATAGACGCCTAGCCTGCAATTTCCCAACTACTCTAAAACTTTCTCTAAGGCCTTCTCCTGCTCTGCCACTCTCCTCAGGGTGGTGGACAGAGGCCCATCTGTCCCAGCTGAGAAAGGGAGAACATCAAATTCAGTCCTAGTCCCTCAATCACAAAAGCACAAAGCATGTGAATCTTTGGCCACCCGTTTCCACACTGAGCAGACATAAGGCCAGTCATATCTTACAAGGAGAGCTGCAACCGTTCTGAATTTCAACACACATACTTTCTGTAGCCATTTAGACTGTCCTCATGTTTCACATGGATGCCAATCAGAGCTTAACAAAACATTCCCCTCTCCTACCAGCACAGAGTTGCTGGGAGTAGCAACCTTGTTCCATGACAAACAACATCTTGCAATTCGTTGCAGGGCTAATTGCATTGCATTGCTGATATAACACTGAAGGAAGACGTCAGCTCTTTGGCTTTGCCCACAAGCAACAAGGGCTTTATTGATTTATTCAGGACTTGTGACTGGTTTTCACAGGTTGCATTCTCTTTGATAATAAAGCCTCATAGACACAGCTTAAATATCAGCTGCAGCCCTAATGGAAACGTGGCTAATTATCAGAGGTCCGGCTTTACAGTCCATTCCCTTATCTCTGGGGTAATGTTCTGTAAATCCAACAGTCAAACTCCCCCCCTTCCCTTTGAAAAAAAAAAAAGAAAAAAAAAAGACATTTCTACTATTCAGGCAAGTCCAGTGGGAAATTACCCATTCCTCTCTTTGAGCCTGAGGTAGCTACCAGCCAAGAGCCCCATCCCACAAGGACTCAACAACTTCAAAGAATGCTTGTAGGATCAGACTCCAAATTAAGGCTAACTTTTGAGACAGGAGAGAATTCACACTGTCTGAAACAAACACTCAGCCCAGATTACAAGCAATTTCTCTTGCATTCACCTTTTGAGCGGCAGCATTCCTTAGGAGTCCCAGCAAATTCACACTATATAATTTCAGTGTGATCAACCATTACAGTAATCTAGTTCTCAACTGCCAGTTTGCTTGACTGTACAACAAAAAAAGGTCCTGCAATCCAGACACGTGGATTAACACCTGGTCGTGGCTAATCATGTACAAATGAGCGCTCACCATAGTAAGCAGTCCAGCTATTAACTGAATGACAACAAGACCCCCCTGGGTACAGAGGACATCCTTCCCTGGAGACTGCGCTACAGTCTTTGGTTTTGCAGTTTGGCCACATGCAGAAGCAAGATTATCGCCTCATAAAGCAGGGATGAAATCACATCAGAACTTTAGTATCGCCAGAACGACGCCAGCATCAGAGTAAGAGCTCACTTACAGAAGGTGACATTTATATGCACACACAACAGCACAAAAGTTTATGACATCAAGAGAGCGGTGCAGTTTAGAAGCAAGCCAGCCCTAGAAAAATCCTTCAGTTTATAGCTGCTTTGCATTTCAGCCTGACAGATGGAAGGAACACCACAAAGCAAATATGCCAGTTAAAACAGCTAAGAGTATAATTTTCGGACTAGAATCCACAACCCAAATTCTCAGCTCATATAACTCAGAGCTCAACAGAGCTGTGCCGATTTCATCCAGCCACAGATCTGACCCAAAGCATTTACCTGATATAACCATGGACTTTGGTACAGAAGCAGATACTTCATTCATTTTGTGGAAGTTAAAAGTAGCAGGTCCTCCCCTAGAACAAATTGATGTAATCCTACAGAAGTCAGTTTACCAGCTGGGGAGCCATTTCAAAAAAATGCAGCGCTGGTTTTACAGAGTCCTAGTTTGCCTGCCTCGAAGAGCAGAAGATGCTTTCATTCACCAAGCAAGGGAAGTGCAACTGACAGCAAGCTGAGCACCCGCTACAACGCCTCGGCTCAGACCCTGTGCCAGGAGGGTGGTCAGGCTGGGCCCACTTCTGACTCTGGCTGCTCTGACCAAAAAATGAGAGGAGGGACCAAAAGAAGTAATGATAATTATGACTTGTACACCAGCATCCTGGGAACTGGGAACATGGAGCACATTACTCTTAGGCTGCAAGTTAAAAGCAGGGAAAATCTAATAAAGAGGAAGGCAAGTTAGAGTCTTTGCTCACAAGACAGAGACAATACATCAGTTGTTCACATACCTGATCAAATAGAGCTTTCCAGTGCTGAGAGGCAAAGCATAAGGGAGGAAAAAGAAGAAAAACAAGGTATAAGAGCAACGACATTAACATGCAGTAAACTGTAGAAGTATATTCTAACACAGAAATAACCAAATGATTTAGTGCCATTTCCAACATCCTTCTTCATCCCAGAATCACCTACCCTTCCGGGGGAGGAGCAGGGGGAATCTACCAACCACAGGGAGGACAGTTTTAATTTACAAATCCAAATTAGGATGAACTCAGAACATTCATGTGTAAATTCTGTTTTCTCCCGCTTTGTCTACTTGCAGGCAAGCAAGGAATAAAAGGCTTTTTTATCCACAGGGATCAAGAAAGCTTGGTGTATACTGAGGGGAGGGAGGAGTTGGCAATGTTTTTTCAAATCACTCTGAGGTCCTGTGGCCCAACACTGACCCACAGACTACAAGCTAAGAAGTAGGACTGATCAAAGCCTTGGCTGCTGCCTGCTCCCACCTCTGGCAGGGACTTGCTGCAAGGCCTTTGATAACCCACCAGCTTTCTAAGCCTCTTGTATCCACATCTGAAAAATGAGGATAATTCCTCTAGCACAAGGTGGAGGAGGGGAAGGCTGCAGAGATTCCATTACATGGGTTTACCCCACAACTTCTGTTCCAGCAGATCTGCCTTAAAAGCTATGTATAGGAGCTACCCAGGAAGCTCCACTTGAACGCAGATAATCACATGAACACTCCACAAGTCCTTTTCACTTGGGAACAGAAAAAAAAAGCTGATGATGGGCTCCAATTCATGCTTTGCACAAAGTCCAGTGCCAAGCCACCTCCTGCCCCGTGTCTGCCAGCTCACCCTCCCTGCCACCAGGGGAAACTCCTAACTGAAGTGCTTAAGCTTCTCTCTCCTCTCGCATGGATTTGGGGTCACCTGAGGAGAGAGTAACTTCCATGCGGCAACGGTGGGGTAACCACTGGCTTGGGGTCTCCAGAAAAAGCCCACACGTTCCCAGCTCTCCTGTCTGAAGCGCTGCTCAGCACAACACTTAGCTTCTGTCTCACTTAGCTTCTGTCTCATTCACCTTTCCAGAAAAGCAAGTCAGAAAAATAACAAACATCAGACTCATGCAAGTAAATCCCCTCACTGTGCTATATGCAAAGCAGAGCTCTGGTGAGAGTCTTATCTAGTCCTCGAAGAGTATTTCATTCCATGCGGCAGACAGGTCTAAAACAGAATTGACTGGAGAGACAGTGGTTTACACACAAGGCTACTGAATTTTATTTAATCAGTTAAGTTGTTGGCTCCCCTCCTCCTCATTCTCCCATTCATTTATAAACTCTCATTTATCATCATAAATTTGCCCAGCACTTTAAACAGAACGCGTCGGGACTGCCTGAATCCTGGCTTTGTCAAATGCTGCTCTGAGAGCTGTAATGACATTGCAGCAGAGCTGCTATGTGCTGTCAAGGCTGTGACAGCCAAACCTCCACTATGTAATAGTTTTATGGTTAACAACATATAAAGAACTGACCCTGTGCCAGTTCTCACTGGCCAAGCCTAAGATCTTACATCAAGCCTTCAAACGTAATAATAATCATAGAAAACCAAAAACTCCAATCAAGTGTCAAGTGGGCAAGCTCCTAGCACAGAGCGATTTTTCAGCAGGAAATTTTCGGCTGTGGAGAAGGAGGGTATTTACACCACTTCCTGCTCTTCTGACTTGTAGATGATCTGTGATACCTCAGGCTTCTGTCACATCATCTACTGCCAGGTCCCAGTAGTTTCCCATAACCAGTGCAACTGCAGACTCAGCCTCACTTTGTTGGTTGCAGAAGACAAGGCACAAGAGTCAAATCACAACGCAGATCTCAACAGAAGTAATTACATGATGCCAAGAGCTGATTCAGACCCAGGCTGAACTACCTCAAGGTCATGCAGCAAGTCAGTAGTAGCATTAGGATGGGACTCTAGATTTCACCTAGAAAAGCTCCCTATCTTTCTCCTATCTCAGCAGCCCAATCCTGCCAGGCACTCAGCACTTATAGCTTCTGCCGGGCCCTTGGCAGGATCAAATTGCTAATGGCTGCATTCTTGTAGATGCTGGAGTAACTCCAAGGGACCCACATGTATCACAACAGGAAATCTTTCTTGTAGGCCATCCAGACAAGCACAATATTTGTCAGGGAAGAAAAGATCACAATCTGAAGTAAGAAAGGACTAGCATTTGGGAACCTGGACTGTGAAAGGTCCTGGAAAGCCGTTCTTTCCCACTAAAAGCTACACAAACTCCTGGTCAGGCATGCTCCAGTTAGGACTATCCAGCAGTGTTACAGCAGAGGTCAAACTGCATCACATATTCCCTCCGGGATTTACAGTCCTCAGGAATAAGTCTGGCAATGCAGTTCTACCAGGTAGCTGCACTTCCTCTGCTAGCCACTGGGAGGAAAAATCCAACACCAAACAAATTCTAGGTTATTCAGAAGAAAGGGCTGGGGGGATCAGGAGTGGGCACTGCCCCTAAGCAGCCCCAGCCAAGCTCCCCTAGTATTGTCACAAAAGCAGAAGGCAAGGGGACAAGCCATGCTAGAGGTTTAGTTTAGAAGTGTTCCTGTCAGGCTGGCCCAAGACCCCTGACAGAGCCCACTTCTGAAAGACATTTAATGTCACTACTTCTGTACACGCCAGTTCATCCCTCCATAGGCAGGAAGAAACTCTGCGCTCACCTCTGCACCCTGGACAGGCACCTTGCACAGTCCTCATCTCAGCAGAGTTCAATGGGCAGGAGATGAGCAAGCAGCCCTGGGACGCACAAGGAACGCAGGATCATGTGCCCCCCCATTTTTGATGCACAGCGAGTTCCTGCCTGCCCAGAGCTCCTGGCACTGGAACCAGTAGATGCAGAACTACAGCTCAGCCCTGCAGGCTTTGCTGCTCAGCGCGGCAGTAGAAGATTCAAAGCACACAGGACCGCTTGGTGTCCTTCTAGGTTGGATGAGCAGAGGTAGAGACCCAGTGCAAAGTTATCCCATCCTCAGGTGCGATCAGAGTTCGGAGGGTGGAGACAGGCTATCAGCCTGGCCAAGCCTGGGAAAAAACTTCCTCGGCTGTTTGTTGCTTAGGGGCTGGAGGAGGGAACAGGCTCCTAAGAACAGGAGTTTTTCAGACCTGTCAGTCTCCTAGAGGTTGGGACTCGGGAAAAGCGCTCTGCCCCCAGGCAGCACCTCAAGACAAGAGATCAGCCCCTCTCCTGCCTCTAGAGACACCTCTGCGCGCAGCCCGCTCCCTCTGCCCGCAGCCCGGCCACCCGCACCACACTGCACCGCACCACCCTGCCCGGCTAGCTGCGG